CACCCCTTCCTCACACACACCCCTGCATCATATTGATCTTTGCTTTATTTGCTTGACACAAACACAAGATGTGTGACGCACACGATGCGCTCTCAGATTTGAGCTGTCATCTGCACACGTACACACACACACAGCCGAGCCATAGCCCACTGAAAAAGATACAACTGGTAACATGAGCTGGAGCTGTTTGTCTGAGTGGATGATAAATCATGTACCCGAGTCTTTTCTGTTGACATAAGATGAATGGCAAGGGGTTTTCACCAGGCCATGGTCTGACCTATATAGTATAGATTTTCTTTGGTGTGTGCTTTGCAGAGTACTGATTTCAAACGCTGCCATTTATGCAAAGAGCTTAAACCAAAGCTGTGTTGAGCTGAATTCCAAAACCTTTCCCAGTAATGCCCTTTTCAAGACAAACACCACATCACAATCGTAGCTAATCCTGTGGCGGTGTTGATATACATGATCAAACTTTTTACTATTTCACTCACAAAACATGTTTTTATATGTCTAAGTATAACTATAGAACAGTCAATCTTGGTGCTTGTGTGTCCTGTTGAGCCAAAATAACTCCCAAAACCCATATCTGTGGATGCAAATCTAAAGGTAAAGAGGCAGAGGCTGGATTGGATTGCTAACTTGTCTGTTTGCTTTTCCATCTAGCTTGGTTTTCCCTCGCTGTAGGAGATACATTTCCATCTACAAGCCCCTTTCCCTTTTGGTACACTGTGAGTGTATTCTGTTTGCCCAGCAGCTGCTGACTTGAGGAAACACATATGGGGGTAGGGTTTCATTATCATGAGGTCTTAGCAGTTTTTAGATCTTAACATGAAGCTACCACACATTTAAGTGACAAAACCTAAATGTGTGAGACAGAACCAAACTTTGGCATATATAGACATCCCATCTATGAACTGTTTACTATTAATAATATTGTAGTAAAGAGGATTGAATATTTTCTCGATCAAATATATTTTACATAAGCTATCACCTTCCATTACATGCAACCCTTGACAGCAAATAATTTCCCTCTGGGAAAATAATTTCCCTCTGGGATTATTAAAGTATTTCTGATTCTGATTCTGATTCTGATGCTGGATTCTGTACATGTGCATGTTTATTTAGTTTCATAGAAAACTACCCAAACCAGTCATGCATTTCTCTTAGGGTAATAGCTAACTGCTAAATGAAGTTCATTATAAGAGACAGTTCCCTACAGGGTCAAAACCAAGTCTGAGTAGCGGTGGGCATGTCACAGCAAATATGTCACAGACACAGGAAAGCAGCAGTGAGCGTGCTGAGTCGTGATTCTCCGTCCGCTCATGCTCGTTCTGGGAGGCTGAGGGAAACCTCTATCCGCCTGCCTCATTTGCTGCTTCTGGGCTGAACGAGAAGGCTTTGTGACTGGTTAAACAAAATGTGAGAAAACTGGGAGTAAAATCAAAAAGCTTGATATTTTCGGCAGCGTTCACATGACATGCAGGGGACAGCTGCCTCAACAAGTTTGTTTTATTAATGCTTCATTGAATACAGCAGTAATTATTATGATGATCAGCATAATTTATTTTTTGACAAGACCTCAAGGAGGCACATTGATGATATAACAGAAGATGTATTGTGTGTATCTATAGATGAAATATTCTGATGAGCACCCATTCAACGGAAATGGACTGCCTGACTCCATATTAAGAAAAATAATTTGTGTTAAATATTAGATGATTTTAAGAATTATTCTAATAATCGTTTTGATAAGATGGCCCATCCACAAGTGACGTCCTCTCTTCATGGTTCAGAGGGACACACAGAATCCGACCAGCCCTGACATCAGCAGGGTCGTCCTGACATCAGAACAGTGTGTGCCTTCCTGTGTGGCCGGCTCTTCACCTCTGCTGAATAGCAATTAGTATTGGAAACAGAACAGGGCAACCACACTTAACCTACTTGTCCAGTGGAGCTTTTGGTTTAGTTTTTTTTATTGTTCTTTTCTCCTGGGAAAACATTGCAAACAGATTAAATTACGGGCCTTTAGTTTGAAAATGCACGCTTTAGGAATATGTAAAACTGACCGAAACTTTGAATGAGAATGTACGCGTTGGCAAAACTATTGACGTAAGAATTCTTGCTTCCAGTTTTCTCCTTCAGTTATCCCAGAGTTGCAAAAACCAAAAAGGCAATAGGCTTCCAAAACTACTCATAACGCATGCATACAATTAAAACCAAAAATGGGAAACTGGGAAAGGATTCATTTTGATTATTTTTTTCTGTGATAGTTTTTGCTAATGTGCAGCTGACAGACCAAGATGTTCCTCAGCAACCCAGTTCAGGCTATTTGTGGTACAGCAACTGCAGCTATTGTTTCTAACTGGAGGCGGATCTGGACAAACAATCACTTCAGAGCTCACCAATCAACTGATCATGAAAAAAGGTACCATGCTTAAGTAGCGGTAAACGGATGAGACCAAAGAGAGGAGAATCACTGAGAACCAGGAGCTGATGAATGAATGAGAAAGGCTAATGAGAACTTGCTGTGACCCCGCGGAGGAGGGTTGGCGGGGAATTGCAGGGCATTTACACTGCAAGGTCTACTCGCTACTCAACATTACTGGAGAAGCCAAGAGGAAGGCTGGCACAGAAACACTGACGAAGCTGTGGAAAAAACGTCTCACATGGATTCAGATAAAGAAAAGAGGTGTTTGAGTAACTACCAATGTGATGCAAACCGAAGTCACATGAACCTGACTGTCCCGCCTTAAAAACCCAAAGCTTCGTTTGCATCTGTGCATTCTGAGGTTTAGCAATTAGTTTCTTTTAATTTATTTCATTTTCATTTTGTTTTAAACCATCTAGTTTAATTGATGTGTCCTTACTTTCTGAACAATGTCCTTTTGATACTTACACCAAACAGTTACATTTGGATACGCTGAAAAAAGCCCTTTTCATAAGCTAACAGGTGACATCTGGTTTAGTTTGCTAAAAATGGCTTCAAACATAGATATATAGGTTATTCCAACAGGGCGCGCCTGAAAATATGTTCATAAAGGCTAGAATGCAGAGTTCAAACAGATAAAAGATCTCCTGGAGCAAACAGGATCCACACAGAATGCCATGGAAACAAGAAGTCCAGCCTCCAATTAACTGACAGCTTCCCTCTCTAAAGGGCTAAAGAATAAGTGTTGAACGGTAATGTCAGAGTAAACACAGGAAAAACTGTGATGTTTACAGAGAGTAGATCTAATCTGCCACATGATCTGAGGCAAACATACAGCATATGCAAGAGTCGACTACAAAAGATGCAAACAACCTGCTAATGAATTCAGACCTCACAGAGTGACGGTGCTCCTGCATGAATGAATGCAATTACGACCTGTGCATTGGTGGCCTGACACAGACGGCCACTCACTGAGATTATTCCCAGGCTCTGGCGTGAATGCTGTGATCAACACTGCATGATGCTTTTATGCAAACACACCTCACAACGCTTCCAAATACAGACTCTGTCTTGCCAAAGTATTTGTCATGAGGGTGTGAAAGTGAGGGAAAACAGAGGACTGTTAGCGTGATGGGGAATTGCTCCCACGCATACGGACTGCAAAATCTAAATAAAACAGAGGCAGTCCCCCGTGTTTTATCTCACCTTTACACACCACAAACATGTCTCAGAACTGCTACGTTTATTTCATTGTATCCACACAGGCCAGACTGGTGCCACGCTTAACAATAAGACTTTTGCCTTGCATCTGTCGTATTTTCCTCTGCCTGTCTCTTTCCGCTTTTGGCTGTAGTTGGAATTCTGTTTTACAATTTGTCACGCTGCAACGTGAGGCTGAGGCACCGAGCACTATGCTGGAGCCCGTACGCTGAGGCTTTGAGGGGTTGAGATAAAACTAAGCTGACGTGTGGGTTCAGCTGCGTCACAGCGTTCTCTGAAAGCGTCTGAGAGGGGGGAGAAAAGGAAGGCATGGCCTCTCTCCAGAGGTGCTCCCCCTTCGCTCTGCACCTCCTAGCGTCTGTACCGCCGCACAGATGCTGGCTTATGCCTCGCAGTGTCTCAGAGGAAGAGGGTAAAATATATATAGTCACCCTTAAGGCAGGAACAAATAAAACATGGAGCAGAAAAAGGTGTGAGTATGAAGCCTGCCTGATTCTGAAAGCTCAACATCAAACAGCGGAGAGCAGGAAAAGCCTCTGAGCTGCTTCTTCTTAATCACATGAACATAAGCCTCCTAACCAACTGTAGACTCACAGGTGTGCCACAGAAGCCTCCTTAAGGACACCACTCCATCACTCTGGAGGAAGAAGACAAATCAATTCTATTCTCCTCTTTCTTTCACACACACTGACTTTTTTTTTTAAGCCCATGCCACCCCTCCCCCCACCCTGGTAAATAACTGAGGCATATTCCCTCTCTATTGCATAGTAGCTTGTCTACTATGGTGTTTTTTTTAAATCTTTTTTGGGGTGGGGGCATATTTGGTCAGGCTGATCTAAAATGTAGGCGACAAGCAACAATTCACTTCACAGAATGAGATCAAATAAAAAAAACAAAAAAACAGATAACTTATTTTTCCCTAAAATCATCTCACTTCTTATGGTGTAGTCAGGGTGCCCACACAGCTAGCACTAATTGTACTTGAAGATACAAATATCTCACAAATGATAAATCCCAAATCTCTGCCTCTGGAAGGCATCTTCACTGTCAGGCTTCCATCTGTAATCTGAGCTCACACACCCCATCGGGTCTTTGAAGACGAGGCAATTCTCAAGAACAAGCTATGGGAATACTTCAATGCTTCATTCATTAGATGAAAATGTGCACCCGACTGTCTACATTTTTAAGGCTGCAGAGAAGAGATACTGAGATGGGATGAAAAATGAGGCATTTGCTGACACCTGCTGTCTGAAAACAGAATCTCCTGTCAAAGAGGCTGGATTAAAAAGTGGCAATCCTGTGATGCCTGTGGTGGAAAAGCAGGGACTTTGCAATGAAAGTGAAGACAGCTGGAGGTTTAAACTGAGCACATTCTTTTATATAAACATGTTTCCTTACATGTTAACCTGATACATAATTTCAATTAAAATCCATATAAACAAAAGACACGGGAAAAAGCAGAAAAGTGCTCCGTGTGTGGCTCACTCTTTTCAACCAATCACAAGTCAAACACACGTCAAATTTGGGACTTTTTGACGAGACTTAAAAGGCCCAAACGGTAAATGCCTGAGGTTTCAAAAACATCTTTGCAAAAATATGCCCCCAAGGAAATAAGGTCAACAGAACAAAATAACTAATTCACACATCTACAGTTTCAAACTTCTACCTTTGATTACAGACAGAACAGCAAAGCTGCACATTTTTCACTTTTGGCCTTTTTTGTGCAAACTCGTCAGCTTTTCATCAGCAAATGGACTGAACACCTAAACTCTAGTTTCCGGTCAACATAACATTCTTCTTAAATGTGCAATTCAATGTGCAGAAAGGATACCTGCATATAAATAAAAACCTTGCAAATTTAAAAAATAGCTCCAGTGATACAACTGTTAATAATGACAGCCTTTCCTCATCTCAGTGTGCACCTAGTCTTCTTTTAGAGTCTCTGCGTCTTTGTTTCCGCTGTTAAATTAAATGTCTGACACAATGTGATCCTGAGCTGAAATATGGCAGATTGAGGGCTTGGAATTGGGCTCCTGCCCCTGTGGGAGGATAGTGGCACTCTGTGTGGAGGCTGTGAGGTCAGCAGAGTGGTCTGCTGCCCCGGTGGTGGGAGACGTGCTGCTGGTCACATCTAAGCCACTGCCCTGATCAGTTTGCTGGATGTCTGGTTTGTCCTTCCGTTCTGGAGATGAAGGTTTTTGGTCGAAAGAGGAAATATCTTTAAAAAGAATGAAAGAGAAGAAAATGGTTGTGATGGGAGAGTTTTGGTTTGAGATCGATGAGAAAAGCCATCTTACTCGTCTTGCAAATATCCGTGCAAAACTTCTATTTTGGGGTTGAGAGGTTTTGTTCTTCAGGGACGGATCATAATTTAGTAACGGAGAGATTTAATGAACCCAGAACTGCAGAGTGCCTCAACAATAGCCGCTTTTTAAGAGCTCTCATTACTCTTTTCAAGCAAGATGGCATCGTAAACATGTAATTGCTCTATTTGCCCGCGCAATTAAATCACGAGTGAAGCGCTTACCCAAGCTACATTGATCACCAGTGTCATCCCTGTAATTAGCAAACACGGAGCTGTGGCCCTCCTCATTGGTGGAGACGACGTCCGACACATCTGAACCACCGGCTTCAGCTGGGACGGAAACGTCTGAAAACAGCATCACGCAAATTATATCTGTGAAGATTCTCAGTCATCCAGGTCATGGTCAGGCACGCAAATGATGATTTGACAACAGACAAAATGGCAATAAGGTCAAAGCTCCACAAAAGCATGCATGGTTACCCAGGTCAGAGGTCATGCTCTGCCCAATTCCTCCAGTTTGATCCAAACCTGAATCATTAGATTGGCTAAACTGAGCCACAGAAGGCACCTGAAGAAACACAAGATAAGGAGATTCTCTCTCAACGAAAAAACTCCTGAATGAAACTAAAGAGACATGCGATGACCTGTACCTCTGTGAAGTTAAGCGGAGCTACTTCTTCAGCACGGTCAGCCACCTCTGGCTGAACAGCATTCTTATTCTGGGGGTTAAGTTGAGCCGGTTGCGTTGGAATCCTGTGCAAGTAGCCATAGCCGATACCACAGCCTAAGCTAAGGCACAGCACACACAAACCGACAATGACTAAACAAGCAACTCTGAAAATCCAGTTCAGAGCCCTGATTAGGGATGCCGAGGCCAACGCACTCCTGGCTACTCTGGATATACAGTTTGGATTGCTGTCTGGTTGAAAGCTGCCATCCAAACAAAGTTATATCTGCAGTATACTTTAGATTGTCCTCTACAGTCTGAAAACATCATTCCCTTTGATTAGGTGCCCAGTGCAGAGGCTGTGGGGCACAAAAAGGTTCAACCATCACGGTCCACTGGGGGCTCGGTGTGTTGACAAAGTCGGATTTCTGTCACAAAATCCGAGGCACAAATTGGATGTGAAAAAGTTTAAAAAAAAAAAAAAAAAACTGCTTCTGAAAAAGCTAGGAGCTGCTGCGTGGCAGCCTTTGGGAGGCGAGTCGTCCTTGAGTGTCATCTCTGTCTTGAGATGTTGGCAAAAGAACAGCACACATTCATCAAGCAGGTAATCCTTGGCTTTCCCCTGACCTCTGGCTCTAACATTCTTCCCTAGAGTAAGAAGAGTTCCTCTTTTTTTTCTTGCTGCTGAGTTTGTCACTTAAAAACAACAGGGACACGGATTTAGAGTCAGTTTATAAACAGCGAGGGGACAGATAATGCAATTAAGGGCCCAGATCACATCCCAGCTGCCTCATTGTAACTGTAATCAAATCTCAAGGAACTCTACCAGAGCACTGAACAATAACACGTATATTATAATGTATCTCATGCTTGCTTTTTTTCCCAATCAGACGTAACTTTGGCCAAATGTATAAATATTTTGATTAAAAAAAATACAAACCTTCCCTCGCCTCCCCATGCTCCGTTGGGAGTCACCACCACCTCCCTGCACTGATCGGTCTGCGTGTTATACACTAATAGCTTCAAAGACTTCCCCTCATTGGCCTCGATCAAGGAAAAGAAATCTTCAGACTGCGGGGTTACACAAGGAAATATTGTATTGGTCAGTTTGTAGATACATATATATATATTTTTTTTTTCTTAATAATTTATCAAACTTTAAAATAAGCAGGCAAACAAAATCTTACTTCTTGTAACACTTGGTCAGCTCCGACAATGAAGTCGTCGTGAGCGGTGAGTCCGGCCAGCGCTGCAGGAGAGTTCGCTTCCACATCCTAAAAAGGAACAGAGGAGGTTTCAAAGGGAAAGTACAAGCCACAAGCTAGAAAACATGTTTGACATGACTGCCAGATGTTCCCAGAATTAGCTTGAGGGGGAAGCAGAGGCTTGGACTTACCAAGACATGCCACACGTTCTCATTGGCTCCCTCAAAGCTGCAGAAGCGGACGCTGGCGCCCAGCAAACCCTGGCCGCCCCACATGTTACTGGGTGTCACCTCCAGCTCCCTGACTCGCTGGGTTTTTGAGTTGTACACTTCAAGTTTGACTGCCTTCTCCACATTGGCCTTCAGGAGGTCTTTCATCAGGTCGCTTTCTTTGCTCTTTGGAAACAGAGGAGTGTAAGTTTAACATATAATCACAACAACAATGAGGCTAACTGAAATATAAACACCACTTTTATACCAACTTTTGCTCTGTTGTAAGGAAACAGCATACAATCTTCTGTTTGAGGGGACCACTTCCAAAACACATATCTAAGAATCATTTTGGGGATCTTTGCGCATTAAGGAGTTTCTTTATTTAAAACAAAATTTCACATAACTCATCCTTTACTCACAAGTCTGGTGTTCCCAATAGAGAGAATGAAGTCAAAGAAAGGCTCCAGACCAGCCCTCAGTGCAGGTGAACCTTCTTGAACCTGAAATTTAAAACCACATTTTAGAAACAGGTTCTTTCAAAGGGGATAAACACGCAATCTGTCGCCCTCGTGTGTCACCTTTAGGTACTACAGGTGTGTGTATTTAGAACTCTATGTTAATTGAATATTGGACGAATCAGCAAACTGACTTATTCACAAAACTCCCTCATTTGTCCCGTGTAAAAGCTATGTAATGCACTGAAATGATCCCCACTGTTTTGAATATCTAAACATCTTGGATGTGTGCCAAATGCCACCTCATCATGGGCGGACACCATGAACTGACCACGGTTTTTACCACTACAGTCAGAAAGTAGCATGTCAGGCTGCTGGTAGATGACTGTTGCAAACATTTCTGTTCCAATGAGCAGGCTTACAAGCTCAAATGTGTCATTCCCGATCAGACAACCTGTATAACCTTGTACTATATGTCACAACATACCCCATGGATATGATATCCACTGTTATTTCCCCCGTCCGAAAGAAACGAGCTCTGCGGCAGCCCCATGGCCTCCAACGGTCACAGTCCGGACTAAATGTCAATGAGGTAAAACTATGTCAGCAGTCATTACACGAGGGCATACAACTGGCCAGCATTCCGGCTGGCTAACGCAGAAGTGGGCTGACAGCTAACAGGCAAAGCTAATAAATAAAGATAACAGAAAAATAGATTCTGCCTCCTCTTTCTTTTTACTCAACAGTGAAATAGCAGGAAGTGAAATCTGCACTCGATTAGCCGTCCTTACGGCGTGTTCAACACGGTTGCTTGGTAACAGAGCACCACTACACATGCGTAACAAGTCAAAAGGAGAAGTGCTTCAAGTATACTTAATATACAACTGGTTTTACTTAAGGAAATAAACTAACAAGGTGCTTTCCCCATGCAATTATGTGTCGTGCATTTAACCTTCTAAGATATTCTATAAGAGAACTGCATGGGAAATATGATCTTTCTCAGCATTTTTAGGGATTTAAGATATCACTTTTAGGCAAAATGGTCAAAACAAGAAAAATCTGTGCACAACACATCCTCACTTTAATAGTTACATACCAGAACCAGGCGGTTAAAGGGTTGCTTAACTCTGAAATGTCAGAACAGAGTAGAGTAGAACAGAATACAGCCCATTCAGTTTTTAACGCGTGCTTTATCAGACTATGGTGAGGGACACTAAAGTGTGAAACTATGAACTCTACTTATCTCTGATAAAACTGAATGTGTCCACATTTGAGTCCGGTCTTGTAAAATGCATTTTGATTCCACTCATTATAGTTCTTGAATTATGTTAAATTAAATAAATTAGGGTGGAGCAGGTTGCCTTGGTTTGTAATATAAGCAAATCCTCTCAGTGCTTATAGTGGCACCAATATAATTCTTATTTTGGCAAATCAAGAACCAAAAACATACAATTTAGCAATGCAGATTGAACTCAGCAAATTTTCAAATCTAAATGGATTAGACAACAAAATGATGGATGTTAAGTCAAATATAAAACAAGCACATGACAAGTAGTTCAAAAATCTTACGAGTCATAAAATAATAACAATCAACTTTCTTGCAAGAAGGAGGGTAGAGAAATTAAAGAAAAAAGAAGAAAAAAGATAAAAGGAATGAGGGAATTTGCTTAAATTAATTAATTTCAGCAGGTCCTACACTGTTGCTGAATGATGTCTCTTGGTGTCACCACAGTGGAACCTTTTCATTTTTCACCTTGGTTGTTGATTTGGTGAACTAATGTTATCAAGTAGGGAAATATCTGTGTGACTAACATGCTTTACAGATGGCTGTGTTGACTTGGTTTCTCTGCGACTACACGTCACCACCCACCTGAATCTGTTCTTTTCCCACCATGATAATGAATATTAATTACAGCCACGTGGTCTTGCTTTCAAAGATCAAATGAAGTGTAAGAATATGAATAAAGTTAATATGTGAAACATTTGTAGGAATTTTAAATTATTATTTGGGTTAACCTCTAAAAAATATCATACCTTTCTAATTTTTTTTAATCTTTTATCAATTAACCTTGATACTGTGTTCCTTCAGTGAGGGATTGTCCCCATTTCTGTTGATTTTGGCAGGTCAGCTAACATCTGCGTGGTGGCCTTTTTGAAGGTCCTTTGGCGTGAAACTGGTATAAATAGTTTAAAACGAGCTGCATTCAGTCATCTGTCATCATGATTTGGGCCGTGGCTTTTCTGTCCTGCATTGGTAAGCTTGTTATGGCAAAAATGAACATAATTGACCTCCATTTGCCATTTCTGGCTTTTGGTAATGCCCATGTAACCGCTGTGCCTTCTGTGTATGTTACCGTGTGTGCAATAGGGCTCATTTGGGCTGAAACACCTCTGAACTACAAGGTGCAGAATGAGAGGGTCATAGGTGGCAGTGATGCCAGCCCCAACACTTGGAAATGGCAGGTCAAATATCTTTTCATATGCCACATTTTTAATTCGACCTTCCCTCCTCATGTTTTCCGTTCATAATTAAGTGATGACTGTTGTTGTTTTTGTTTTGTTTTTATTCTCAGGTTTCCCTTCAGTTTGATTCGTACAGTGATGGTTACTTCTACCACATCTGTGGAGGAAGCATTGTGGATAGTTTCTACATCATGACGGCAGCTCACTGCATCCTCAGGTTTGGACTGTCAGGTTTGAGCAGGCCTGGAGAAATGATGAACATAATCACTATCAAATGCTGTTGTTTTCTTTTTCTGTCCCTCTCAGCATGGACTCTCGTCTGTACCGCGTGGCAGTGGGTGAGTATAACTTGTATGAATATGAGGGCAGTGAGCAGTTCATCGATGTGGAAGCGATTATTGTCCACCCTGAATGGAACGGGGATCTTGCCAAAGGGTAAGCGTCTCACATTTCCGTTTAAACTCTTGATAAAACATCCCTTTTAAATCTGTCTATATTCACACAGAAAGCATCTCTGAAACAATATTACATTGTAGCCTCTTAATTTTTGCCAGTTAAGTTTCTCTCCCAAGGCTTTTGATAAACTGTCTCTGAGTTATTTAAAAAATGTTTTCATTTATCTCTCAGGAATGATATTGCTCTTTTGAAACTGGCCAGTCCTGTGTATGGCAATGGCTACGCGGAGATCGCCAACCTTCCGTATCCTGACCAGACGCTGCCTCACGACTTCACTTGTTACATCACAGGCTGGGGGTTGATGGACTGTGAGTCCACGTCTTACAAGCACGTGCGCATTTTAGAAACTCTTTTGATAATGACGCATCTTGAACTTTGTCCTTACCATATCAGACATAGGAAGCACCCCTGAAAGGCTGCAGGAGGCTCCCATCAATGTGGTGGAGCACTCGGTGTGCTCCACGCCGGAATGGTGGGGCAACATTGCTCTGGAAACCATGTTGTGTGCTGGAGGAGACGGAGTCATATCCGGCTGCCAGGTATAAAAAAAACAGGGTTGTTATTTATTGTATTCTGACAAGAAATGTTTTCGAGGTGCAGCAAGGAAATAAAATGCCATAGAATGCTAAATCCTTCATGCCTGACACATGATGCTGAGAGGTGTGAACCTTTTTGTCCCTTCTGCCTGTGCCAGGGTGACTCTGGAGGTCCCCTGAACTGCTTCGATGATGGAGCCTGGAGAGTCCACGGCGTGGTCAGCTACGGGCCGTCTGGCATGTGCAACCAAGTGACTAAACCCACTGTGTTCACCAGAGTCTCCTCTTTCCTCTCCTGGATGTACTCAGTAAGTCTCCAGAAGCCTTTCTGTTTGACTGCAGGGACATTAATGGACAGATACATTCAGAAAAACCTCTTTGATATTTGTGTGTTTCTTTTTTTTTCCACTCTGCAGGCCATGGGACGGAATCTTTAAATTTCCAACTGGCTCCTGTGAAATAAAACTCATAATTCACATTTGGCTTGTAGTTCTTAAACTGTCCAAAGGGTAGCAAAAGTGAGCCGTGTTTTACCAAAAAACTCAGCATTCCTCTTGGATTAGGTGCATTTCAACTCCTGTACTTCCCCAGAGTCCCATAAATGCATTCCTTTATGAATGCAGGCTGGATTGGTGTGTTTGGATTATGACTAGTTCATAGTATAAAAACCACACTGTGGTTCTTTTTTGTTTTTCTTTAATCATCTGAAGTTTCAGCCTATGATGACAGTAAATTCCAAGGTATGGATCACTATAAAACAAAAAAGAAAAAACAGGAAAAAGAAACACTTTTTTGACAAAACATGTTTTTTTTTCCTCATGCTCTTGGGATCAAGGAAAACCAGACGTGCATTTTTCTCCATGGAAAATCAAATATACTAACAAAAAAACCACGCCTTCCTAATTGTGGCCAAATGTGAGCTATATGCTGCCACAGACTCCACGTTTTCTTCCTGTCTGGAATTTTCTGGCCATATGTTTGTGGTGGCGGTCAGGACACTACAGCATTACGTCATTTTCATGTTTTTCTCTCTTAGCCATGGAGACCCGTAACAACAGGTAAATTCCAGTGGGAAAAAAAAAAGAACATGGGTATATTAAAGTTGGTCCTCAGCTGTAATGCTTCTTAATGATGTTTCAACAAAATAAGGTATATTTTCTAAAATGAATTGAAGTAAATCACTAGCTGTTTTTTTCTTATCCTCCATCTCAAACCTGACAAATGCACAGAAGGTTTTTTTTGTGCAGGTTATAGCTATTATTAAAACTTATAAAACTTATTTTTTGCGCTTGTGATCTCATACAAGAACAGCTTCAAACTCTAAAGTTTGTTTAGCCACGCCTTTGTTTTGGCCGAAGTAATATACTCTACACCTTATTTAGCAACTACACGATACAAACAACACACACAATCAAGCGTTTACAAAATGATTTTTTTATTATTATTTGGAGGGACAAGCTGTCAAAATGGCTTAGATGAAACTAACTGTTTTTTGAACAGCAGGTTAATGTGTGAGTATGTAAAAAATAAAGCAGCTTTGTTTGCTCTGCAGGACCTTTCAAGCAGAAATATGCACAACACAAAAGGCAAAAATGTAAGACACGTTCTTTTGAAAACAAAATATACTGTACTGTAATACATTACACTGATAAACACTCACTGTTGCCATTTCTTCATGAGATTTGACATTTTGTACAAGAGAAACAAATGTTTGCTTGCAAAAAAGTAGTGCCCTTTTTGTGGCGCAAGAACGTATATCGGATGGATTTCAAAGTAATTAAAAAGGCAAAAAGCGAATAATACATTTCTAATGTGCACTCTGCACTTTTCAAAGTATACAATTAATCAGAAGAAGATTTAACAAACAGGACCTGCATGCATAATTTCAAAAGGGTCCAGAAAAGCTGTCGAAACAGCCGTAGAAAAGGTGAGATATGTACATCAACTCTAGTGTCCCTCAGCTTTTCATACAGGTGATAACGATCACCTCTGAAAAGGTCTTGTTCTTTAATTGATGAGGCAACTCTTCAAATTTCAGGGTTTGTGTTCAAGATAAAAAATGTATAATATATGCAGTTTTTATCCACAAAAACCCTTCACATGTGTAATTTATAGCATATTTTAACCCAAGTCACAGACTTCCAAAAAATTCTGAGTACAATCAAATTGATCTTTGCACTTTACTTAGTTTTAGTGGCATTTCTCTAAGATATCCAACCGTTAAAAAATACTTCGGAATGTAGGAGAGCAATAACCTTCATAAGCATACATTTCTCTACAATTCATATATTACAAAGGTTGTCCCAGATTGAAAATGATTCATTTCGCTCTCTTAATAAAATATTCAATTTGTCAGTGATTAGAATTCCTTTGTTCCTACATAAATTAGTTACAAAATATTAGTGTAATTTTCTATGGTTATATAATAGGCAGAGATACAATAGATCCATCATTTTGTTTCAGTGATTAGGGAGAATCCACAGTTTTCAGTCCCAAAGCTTAAATGGAAGCACTGTGCACACACCACTGGCAGGCATGGCTCCCCTGATAAACAGGCACATCCAGTAAACCTCACAACAGCCCATGTGTTTTCCAAAATGACTTAAATTAAATAACTAATGAAATCCCGACACAATAACTTAAAAAATGTTAAACGTATAAGAGAATAGATATTAAATACTTTCTGATGGACTTGTGGTCCCATTTCCAGTAACAATGCCTTAATGCGATATGGAAAAAAAAAAAAGAAGGAAGGAAGATTGCACTTAACGGTGAACAAACCACAGTGCTGCTTGAATGAATGAAAGGAGGCTTCATATGAAATAAATAAAAAAAATTATAAAGGAAATAATTTAAACAAAAGCAATATAGATAACACAGCTACAGCTTTTAGGTGTGAGCATTCATTCTAGTTGCCAGGCTCATAAATAAGTGACTCCATAATTTAGCGTTGAACTGTTGAATCCATCCCATATGACCAAAACAATGCCTATGCCTATCTTCACAGATAAAGTGCTGATCGAGGAGCTTTTACAGAAGATTTTTTGTTTTCCTTGTACCATGAAAGACCCTTGGGTTAGATCTTTTGGGGGGGAAAAAATCACCAGCTTTAGAATTGAACACAGCCAGGAGCCCACTTGCTCGAGCCCAAAGGGAGGACCACAAACAGGACTTTGTTGTAGTTTGACTCGGGTTTCGTATGAAGGCCATCACAGCAAGGTTACCATATACTGCCTCCAAAAGCTAGAAATAAAAATCCCTGAGGTGCACATTCAGCTGTGTTGAGGCTCCCAACCTGGCCACAGTTAGGTTTGATTCCTGTCAAGCATACGGTTGGTGATCTTGGTTTGGTTAAAAGAGCTTTCTTAGGAATTGAGAGCCATCATTGGTTTCTGCGGGCCTGGTTGAATTGATTTCTTCTTATTGGAGATTTTCACTTTTAACACTAGCTGCCATCTCACACAGCGATTAATCCCAAACTGCTTTGCTAACATTTTGAAGGCAAGACTGGAATCTGAGAATCTATTAGGCGAGAGGGAAATCACAGCTTCCTCCAACATGTTGACATCTTATGTGCATTTTAGCCTTCTTCCAAACCATTGTTTTGAATTACATTGTCCACGTATATTTAGTCAAACTTTCACAGACTCCATTACAGACAATTTCATGGCTTCCTCCATCAGCTGATTGTCTGTAAAGGTTGCGGGGGGCTCAGGGACAGATTCTGAAAGGCCGATCAGAGACTCCAGGAGGCAGGTCCCGGGGTCACTCGCTGCCGGGAAACTGGGGTAACTGGGCAGCTGGAACTGAAAAAAGTTGTCCATATGCTCGTACTCCTTGAGGGAGTTGTAGAGCGAGCTTGGCCCCAAACAAGGGAAGCCGTCGAAGAACTCGAGGTCAGACTCGGAGGAGAGGCTCAGGTCCATGTTATAGCTGGCAGAGCGATCCACGGTGGGAGAGGGTGTGCGTGGTACACTACTACTGTGGAAAAGGGCGTTTCCCTGGTTGGCGTTCTCGTCCAAAAGTTCTGAAATGGCTGATACTCGATTGTCCGTCTGATCGTCCTCAGAGTCCAACAGCGCCGCATCGATGTTGTCGTTCTCGTCGGCAAAGTCCACCATGCTGAAGCTGCTAAATGCCTCCGTGGACGGCTGCTGTTTTTGCACGTCGGTGCAGCACTTGTTTTGACAGTTCCTGTCCCCGCCGTCGCCGCTAGTTCTCGAGGAGTTCTCCGTGTCGCTGAAACAAAGTATGCGGCTCAGGCCTTTCTCGTCCACGTCCAGGGTGCTCTGATGCTGGCACCGGCCCTCGCCTGCCTCCGAGTCCTCGCTCTGACCGGAGGAGTCGGATAAGTCGGTCATGTCGCTGCTGCAGCTGTTCTCCCCGGCCGCCACCAGCTCCGAGCTGAAGGGGAAGGAGGGCACCGCCGGTAAAGGAGCGGCGCCCGTCGTGCTTTCCTCTTCATCCTCCTCCGTGCTGGACTGCTCCTCCAATCTCTTCTCCAGCTCCAGCTTCATGATAGTGTGGATGTAATGCGTCCGTACCCGTGTGGAGTTGAACTCGATGCGACCCTCTGCGTTTCCACAGCCGTCCTTCGTGCAGCCACAAGGGAAAGATGAATGATCCATCTACGAAAAGCAAAAGAAAGTGGTTAAACACTCTATAGTGTAACAGAAACTTCCAAATGTTCTATGTTTTTTTTATTGTTTTTTTCATTCTTACCTGACATTTGATGCCAGCCAGGCTGCAGCTACATGTCTCAGGATCGCAGAAACCCTGGCAGTCACAGCCACAGTTCTCCCTGGAGATCCTCAGCTCGTGCAGTTGCCACTTCTCCTCCTTGTCAATCTTCTTCACGCCAGCTGCTTTGAGCAGTGCATAGCGGCGCTTCGACGGGTAAGGCTGGAGGAAGGAACCTTCATCCAGGTTGGCTCCACTGATGTCAATGTCCTGCTCTGGGATGTCGTCCACCGTCAGCCGATCTGCTTCTTCACTTTCCTGGGTTCCATTTTTTGTCAACTGAATCAAAGGATGCAAATATGCTTAATTTGCTGTAATTGGGTATGGGAGTGAGTTGAATTCAATGCAAGACTTTCATATCTCACCTTCAGTTTGAGAGCTTCTAGTTTCTCCTCCCTGAGTCTATTGAGGACCTTTACTCGCCGCAGGAGTCGCTGCTCCACAGCAAACTCTGCAAGTGTGTACGTGCGGAGTGCGCTGTGGCGCTGCATCATGCCTAAAGTGCACCCTCCTTGACTGGGAACACTGGTGAAGCCCTGGCACCGAGGGAAGAAGAACACCGTCACCTGGTCAAACGTCACATTGCCCCGCCGCGCTCTCTTCGACTTCTTAAGGATGGATGTTCCTGCGGATGGACAAAGGCTGGGTCAGAAAACATGCCTTCCATATAATAAAGTATTTTTTAAACATGACAGAGGTGATGTTGAACTCTTTTGCGACACTAGATGGCATAGTTCCCCACCATTTGAATCCTTCAGATGCCTACAAATGCTGCTGAACAGCATGTAAAAAGACACCTCTCTGATTTATTGTACAGCCTTTATCAAGTACCCACTTTTTAAAAAAAAACACACACAACACTGATAACAGGTGTCTAACACCATTGCATCCTGTTAAATGAAACCTAAACAACTGGGAACCCATCTAGCTTTGTTTCGTGTCCTACTATGTGAAAGAAAAAAGAAAAGAAAAAAACGCCCAGCCCAGGAATTTCCCTTTAGTGGCCAACACAGTGGAGGAAGCAGAGCAGCCAGGATCACAACGTGGTGAGTAAATGCCGGAGCCCGCCAGATGGGATGGAAGCGTGGACGGGAATAAAACCTGACCACCCGGCTCTCTCTGGAAGCCGACAATCCCCACAAATGACCCAATGTCAAAGGTCATTTCTCTGCTGAACAATTCAGGACCAGCATCGATGAGCTACCTTTGTACTTATACATAGACAGAGGCCATAAAACACATGGGGATGTAAGTGGAACCATATGTGCAAAACTAAAAAGTCCAACAATTATTCAAGCTTTTGTATAAATTCCACTTCCACCCAGGAATATTCAACTTTGAGTCACACTTGAAGACATGTAAGTTTTTCCCCTGCTTAAGCTGCCAGGACCATTTTTATGTGAGCCGGTGTGTAAAGAAGACGGCTGGTAATCCCCATTACATCTGGTGGTCCTTTATGTGGCGGGGAACTCCTTTTGGAGTCCCTCTGTCTATACAAAGTTGCAATACTCTGGCATACTGCATTATGACTGGCCTCAAAAGCACTATAAGTCAAACATAAAAAATGTATAAATTGATATATTTGGTGTGATAATTAAGGAGTAAAATGTAACCTTTTACCTCAACTCAGACAAGCGGAGTTAAACAGCCTGACTATTCTATTTGAACTGCCAGGTTCAGCTTCGCATCCATCAAATCCAGCCAGGCTTAAGACATCCACAAGAAATAAATGACACCCTATCTGCTTCTGGCTAAGATGGCTTTGTAGGCGGCTAACCCCCATCCTTCTCCTCACAATGGCAAACAACTTTCCTTCCAACACAAACACCAGATCATAATAGTCCACTCTATAAGCTCTGCTGGATGTGTGTGCTTGCCTCTTTTCTTGATTGTGCAGCCCCCCCTTCTTTTCTATCCCTTCACCAAACCTCTTTCAGCACCTGTGCTGGGTGCACGCCCGGGCTTCAGACAAGGCGTTGTGTGTTTCCAGTCTTGGCAACCTGCCAGGCTTCTCTTCCTGGCTTCCTGCCCCACCATCCTGGAAACCTCACAACGGCTTGCCCTTCTCCCGTACAACACAATCCCGCAGCAAAATGGCCCCAGGGCCCCTAAAGACCAGCAGGCGCACCCAGGTCCAGAGAGAAACACCCCAAAGCTGCTCAACCCACGCCTCTAAAGGTAAGGTGAGGCCGCGACTGTCTGCGGGCTTCCAGGAGGGAGGTGAGGAAGGTGCCAAGGTGAGCAGTCACTGCATAATGCGATTAGCCATCTTGCAGCTTTAGGGCATGAAATCAAAAGAGGTATTCACGGCAGAAGTCTGAAATCATTTCTCCAAAGTGTTTCATGGACTGCCAGCTGCATAAATTCCTTCACCTCTCCCCTATTTTTATGGGTTGTTATTAGAGCTTCAGCGGATGCTGAAGACATTGCGAGGGCATGCATTAAAAAAAGAGCATGTACCATCAGCTATTCCCGTGATTTATTACCACACTAACAGAACACTCACTGCTGAAATTCGTTGCTGGGGAGCTTGGGTTGCTGGGAGTGGAATCCAGGGTGTCCGAGTAGCAGCTCTCCCCCTCCGAGTCCCAGCCTGAGCAGGCGGAGGAGAGGGAGGAGGGGGAGGGAGTGGAGTAGCATGGGTCCTCATCCACCTCCTCAAACTTCCTCTTGTGAGGCCCACTCATGGTGATAGTGTGAACAATCTGAAGGGAGAAGCAAAGACAGGGGTTATTGGAGATCTACTCACACTATTCATACTTCTTCATACTTCTTCAGACAGAATTTAGGCTCTCAGTCACATAAGCGACCGGGCAGAATAAGCATGTTTCATGGAAGTATCTGGACACACTAAAGGGCCACTGGTGCCAGTGCATCTTGCGCTCCAGCATGTGAGAGACAGCATCGCTCACATGCATCCGAGTCTTGTGCTGCTCTCAGCGGAGAGCGGCACAGGAAGCAATCAATCAGCCCCATTTGCCTAAGTCAACAATTACTGGACCCTTCACCCTCTTGCAAATCACATCAGCTAAGCAAATGCATTGATTATAGAAAAATCCAAACAAAGGTGACCCAATCATCTAACGACAGACATTACGATCAATCCATTCAAGCAGCTGTCACATTAAAGTGACTAAAGATTCAGGTAATTTTCCACTAGTCGTATGCTTATAGGTAAAGGTATGTAGATAGTGGTACACATAGTCAAAGTGTTTTGTTATTCAATGCGAGCATCTCTTCCCAGCTCTGTTAGTTCAGCAAAAAAATAAACAATCAATCCTTTGACAGAGAGGCAGTTGAAAAAAAGAGTATTAGTTCATGTTCTTGCAAAGGTATGCTATTTTTTCTGCGACCTAAAAAAAAAGCTGTTCTGTCTTTTCAAGTTTCACGAGAAAAAAACAGACAATACAGAAATATCCGTTATGAAAAATGTGTGTTCCAATAAGAAGGAGGATTCATGTAGTACTTCGAAAAGTGTAGAGAAGTGTAGAAAAGTAGAAGTTGAAGCAGAAAAGGTCACCATCATCTCAGTTTGGGACTTAGCCCCTGCAAATTTGAACAAGCAAGGGTGGAGGGAAGAGGGAAATGATGGGAGAGGGAAGACATGGCCGGGCCCCGTTCCATCATAGACACTCCCGTCGAAGATGTGGGATGGGAAAGGAGGCTTTTACTTTAACCATGAAGAGCTCATTTCACCATCAAACTGTCTCCAGTCGATGGAATTGCAGCCAAATCATTCACAGCTGCTCCAGCTTCGGCACGTTGTGTATCTGCCCTGAATCTCGGTTATCCTCAGCCGCGTTTGTTCAAACACTTTCCTGGTAATACCTATAATTTACCAGCAATCAAAGGTAAGTTTGTTTGATACCTTCTTTAATTTTGCATAAGGCTAAATTTAAGTCTTAACGATTCCAGTTATTTGACAGTACATGGCTCAGGCTCTGAAACCCTAAGTAATCACATCATCTCTCACCGCTCCTGAAAGAGCCAAAGGAAAAGCTCTGTAGCTCTACAGGCCCTTCAACTTCATGTGTGACCTGCCTGCTGGGCGTGTCTTCTCCGGCTATTACGTAGGAGAAAAACAGGAATAAAATTCTGAGCAGGTAGTCAAGCAGGAGGTCATTTTCAGCATGCAACAGGGGCCAATTATGGAAAACCGGAGCTCCCTTTTGACAGAGATAAGGGCGAGACCAAGTCAAGGGCAAGAGGCTGACACCTCCGTATGGTCAGTGGAAGCTTTGCTGCTGCGCTGGAGGGGGTTATTGTTATTGCTGCTGTCACATATTGTAGTCCCCAGCGCCAGTATGATGAATGAATCACCTTGCAGTGGGTCACGGCGGCTCATTTTATCTGTGGAACTAACAAACAGGCTTCTGTTGCACCACGGCCGTCTCAGTGTGCTCCTCGTTACAGAATCAATGAGAGAAAAGAAGCAACTGAATTCCCACCCATGACTGTACTCAAGTGCAAAATGATTTCCAAATGCCTTCCGCAGCTCCGCGTGTCACACCGGGGGATTTGCCCTGAGACGATTTGCAAACACCTGGATGCAGCATCTGTTGCTCTCGTGCTCGCTCGTCACACAACATATGTGTGTTCTTAATGCTGCAGCAGCTTACTGTTCACATGTCTGCGTGGGAATAAAACGAGGAGCACACGAGAGCTAACCTTACATTTTTTTTAGTTTTTTAACTTAACTTTGCCATCATTTCCCACCCCCAATTCGCAGGAAGAAAAAAAAAAAAAAAAAAAAGGAAAACAAAGCTGTGAGGCATCCTCAAGGGAGTGCATAGAGCCAGCTAAGCAAAGTCTTTTTAATTAAAAGCTGCAGTGAGGCAGAAGGGGGAGGAGAGGGAGAGAGGTGGGAGGCAGGGGGGACAGTGGTGTCAGAATTGGGTCATTGTCTCTTGACTGCAGTCTACCTGACACATTGATTTGTTAATCCTGTTCAACGGGCAGAAACAATGGCGAGAGGTTAATCCTGGCGAGGGGACGGCATGTAGTCAATCGAGGGCTTCTCAGCCTGCTCAGCCGCTGCACCCACAGAAAAAAGCCGATAGAGCATGGAGAGCAGACGGAATAAGAGACCGGGGGTAAAAAAAAAAAAAGACAACGTATTGCTTATTATTCGGCTGCGAATGGGTGTAGGGTGCAGGGGCAAAAAGAAGATGAAAGAGGAGGAATTCAGAGCTGGCTCCTCAAGAAGGCAGCGCCTGTGAATGTCTGCTCTAAATGGAGAATGGATGTGATCGGACAGCCGAGCCAAAGAGGGAGCACAGCATGTTTTCAGCACGCACTAAATTATGCATCGCTGTCATTCCATCAACTGCACACAGGCAGGCAGATAAAGGACACATCCACTGAGGTGCTCCCCAGTCAGTTGTCATAGAGTCGGGAAGATAAATCTCAAGCAAAGAGATTTGTCACCAGAAGTACTACAGGGCTCAAGTTATATGCATAACTGTGTCAGTCGAATGAGATTATCTGGGTACATGCAGCTACAGGCTGTTATGTGACTCCAGAATCACTTTTCTGGGGACAGCTTTCACAGTCTCATGAAAACATCCATGAACAATTATGTAAAGATGGATGTAAACAAATGCTACATCCAAGTGCAAAGGTCGAAACAGCAATAAACCTGATATCTTAATGAGGCTCACCATATTGGACAAAGGCAACTTAAAATAAAAAGAAGGGGAAAAAAAGGGGGTACAATGCCTTCCAAAATGCATTAGTATAGAGTTACAAATCTAACTGAATAAATCAGAGATTTAATCAGAGGTACAAAAAAATGTTTCACATTTACACAGATCCCTGGACAGGCAGCCCTTTAAGCGTCACCCCTCTGCCTTACAGCCACACAGCGCAGGTCCCAGTTGGCTGTGCCCCCTTACACTGCCCATCCAGCCCCTCTGCAGCCTATAGCACCCTGGGTGGGAGCGTCAAGTTGTGCTAATCTTAGCCCGCCGAGAGCATTTACATGGCACACTGACAACCCGGTGCTGTGTCTGAGTGACTGACTGAGTGCTCATAAAATGTGATAATGATGAGCCTGGGAGTCTTCCTGCGTGTGTGGAGTCGTGTCTGGGCAGGTCATTCCCCGCAGGCTTCGGGGGGTATCGCGCCTCTCATTTCCAGCTCAGAGGTAACTGATCAGAGCCGCCCAGGCACCGGCGGCGGGCTGGACTCCTGCTCCCGCACAGCTGGGGGAAAAACTCCTGCACATGATTCAAACCGAAGCACTTTGTCAGAAGCGCTCCACCTGCTGGAGCAAAGCGGGCAGAACTCCCCCCTTTCTCATCTATGAGCCTGTTGTTCTCACTGTGACCGTGCCACAGAAACATTCTGTTCCCCTGCTTCGACCCGTGCACACACTGTTTCCAAAAAGGAGAGGTAGTGGGAAGAAGGAGGACGGATTGTGCAAAACAAATAAATAATGTCATGTCTCCAAGCCACAGGAATTCCATTCTGGCAGGACTACTCCCGCTGAAACAGTGGGAGAAGAACACAGGCTCTATCTAACCCAGATGTGTTTTTACCGCTAACCACTGGAAAGTCCTGCTCCCTTAAGACGCCCGGGCAGGCCACCTTTCCTGCAGCCACACCTGACAGGGGATTAGCTTGCACATGGAGCGTGCATGCCAGTCATTTGTTGTGCGAGGCAAACATGGGTGGTCAAGCGGTGGAAGCCGGCATTCACTTCTAATTCAAAGGAACAAAAAAGCTGAACTTGATTTTCTTATTCTTTTTGAGATATGCAAGTACGAGAATTACAACAGCAAACTTGAAACAATCTTTTAAGCTTTAGCCTTTAGCTGTGCCTGTGTGCATGTGTGTGCGCGTGTGTGTGTGTGTGTGAGGAGGAAGGGAGGAGGAGGATGTTGTCAGTTCAGGGGTCGTACTTCATGTCTGGGACACTTGCTGCATGGAATGCTGGGAGAGGACAAAGCCAGATGGGAGCTTTCTGCTGCTGTGTTGGAGACTTGTCAGCAGGCACCCGCACCCCCCCCCCCCCCCCCCCTCCTCCTCCCCCCCCCCTCGTCTCTAGGCACAAAAGCGTGGGGCCATCCTGCGTGACCAAAATGAAGCAGGCACAGACAACCTTGCCTGAACCCAGCTCTCTGCCGCTACTGCCTCCTCTCCCAGCTGGGCAGGCAGATACTAAAATTGTGCACATGCTTCCTGAGGTTGTGAAACCCACTCTGCAGTGCACAGGAAGTGGCTATCCAGATTATCTATGCTGTGTCTGACAGCTGCAGGCACAGCAAGGTTAACCCAATACAGGATCACATGATGGACATGAAGCGCTCAGAAAGCATGAGTGATATTTGTTTTGTGTTATAATCCCCTAAAACACCGCATAAAAACCCTTTTTAGGCTTGGTGTCATTTACAGGAGTTTCCATGTGAAGTTATATATAATTTTCTAAGAGATCAAGATACAAAGTGCAAGCAAGAAAAAACAAGAAAAAAAAACAAAAACAAAAAAACATGTGTTTAAAAAAAATTAGAGCTATTTAACCATCTTCCAACATTCCTGGGGAATGCAGGCCACATTAAATGCTTAGCACCAGCGCTATATGGCCCCTCAGTAAACAAAGGATCATTCAGCCCTCTGTAGCATAATTCCAGAAAACATGATTCCAAAAAAGATCCGGGTGAGGTCGCGCGAGAGACGATTAAACTCGCTCTGAAAAATAACAGCTCTCAGACAACAGTGGCATACCTACAAAGCGCAACGGGCAGCTTCACCCGAGCGCGAGGGCACGTAAAGGCAAAGGTCCTGCACGCGCCTCTGCACATCTGGCCCAAACTTACGCCAAAGAGCGACTGGTTAGGACGGAAGACTGTTGGGGAAAACTGTTGGCTCAGACAATGGAAGAGCTCAACACTCTGTTTCCGCACCTGGCTCGCAGACACCTGTCTGAAATTCTTCATGAAAAGATTTTTTTTTTTTTTTTTAATCCAATAAATCGATCAGTGGCGAATTGTGTGCCGGACGCGCGCGCACTGAGGGCAGCCGGCTCCCCGTGTCCGTCTCCCCCCGCTGACCCGATCATTCCTCGTGATTAATGCTAATTGTGATGACAGCAGCCCTGTCAGCTGTGCGCTCGGATGCAGTGCCTTCGGGAGTCGCTCTCGTTCCAAGAGGCGCACCAGCGCCGCCGAGGTGAGCAACTCCACACACAAAGCCGACCCCATCAAACTGTTCCGATCCACGAATCCACAACCGACAACACGCACAGGCGGCACGTGCAACCCCCCCCGTACGCCAGCTAGGTAGTTTTTAAAAAGAAAAGAAAAAAAAAGAAACTACGAGCACCGATCAGAAACATCCAAATCAATCAATAAATGAATGAAAGTGGATTATCGGAACCTCGCCGTAAAAAAAATCAACTCGTTCTTCAAGTGTTTTATCAGTCTTTTGCCACCGGCTTGTGAAATGGTCACAAAACATTGCAATAAATCTTAACAGCTCACTTTATCTCAGTCCAAGCGTGCCAGCACAATGAAGCGTCAACTTAAGCTGCTGAATGCAAAGTGTTCCTAAAGAAATCTGACAAAGAAAACCCCCTGAAAGAATAACCGCTCGGAGCTTCTCTCACTCACTCACTCAGCCACACAACAGGATCTTTAAATGTCCCCGACACATGAGCCAAGGAATAAAAAAATAATTAGAATATTCCCAACTAGTTGGCTTCTTGTGGCTCGGGCTAACAAATATATATCACGGCGTCCAATCACACAGCGGCGAACTCTCCCGAATCTTGCTCGTATACTCACCACAAATTCAAGTGTCCGATCACCATCAGGGAGCCCGGTAACGTTTTGGGGGAACAGGCGGCGGAGGTAATCCAAACGGGCCGGCTTCTGGAGCGCTTCTCCCCGCACGCAGACGGCTGTGGGGGGCTTTTGTCTGCGGGTGAGGGCGGTGCGGGGCTCCGCAGCTCGAGCGCTTCCCTTGTCTGTAGCAGACTGCCGAGAAGCGCAGGCTTTCTTTTTTTTCTCTCTCTCTCTCTCTCTCTCTCTCTCTCGTCAGTGGAAAACTCCCTCCTGGCGTCTGGTCTGACGCAGGCGGTGACACAGGGAGGCTGCCCACGCTGCTTCCTGCCCGTCCTCCTGTGTTACTGTACCCTCACTACCTGCGTGAGAAAAGCCACGGACCCACCCACTCCAACCCGGAATGTGTGTCATA